ATAGACAAAAAAAAAAAAAAAAAAAAAAAAACGCCGACCGAAAAATGTATATCGTTTAAAACTATACTGAATGACCAGTGTTATTACGGCTCGGGGGTATGACTTCCTCTCACATTTTTGTCATTTGGTGGCGCACTTTCGGCGAGAGTCGGAAATCCGGAAACAGTCGACCGTTTCAGGATAGGTGGGCGTGGCTACAGCACGAGAAATATCCCAAATTTACTTGAATACGAGTAATCATTTTCAGCAAAAAAATCAATAACTGCCCATTTCAGTGGGACACGGATCTAAAATGGGAAACGCGAGGGTGGGCATTGCACAGGCACTTTAAACTTAAATTAACAGCATGGATAACGTCAACACTTTTGTTTCTGTTCTGCTGTACATAATGCACACTTGAATTAACAGCATGGATAACGTCAACACTTTTGTTTCTGTTCTGCTGTACATAATGCACACTTGAATTAACAGCATGGATAACGTCAACACTTTTGTTTCTGTTCTGCTGTACATAATGCACACTTAAATTAACAGCATGGATAACGTCAACACTTTTGTTTCTGTTCTGCTGTACATAATGCACACTTGAATTAACAGCATGGATAACGTCAACACTTTTGTTTCTGTTCTGCTGTACATAATGCACACTTAAATTAACAGCATGGATAACGTCAACACTTTTGTTTCTGTTCTGCTGTCCATAATGCACACTTGAATTCTTTTAAATTATTTCTTTAAAGAGTCATTATGAGTAACTTCCATATTTTACTACATTCTACATGTAATTAGGGACAACGTCAAAAGATCGATGTCGGATAAAAAACTTAATATTTCCTTTAATTTGGGGGTGGGGACCTCAAAAAGTTTCCATCCTACAAAAACAATTTTATTTTTTAATGAAGTCAAAAAAATCTTGGAGTATTTGTAGTTCGTTTTTTTTTCTATCTAATCATGGACAGAAATAACTGAAAAGGGAAAAAAATAGAAAAATGGTTTGGTTCGAGTGTAAATTTGTGCGTCAAATGAGGTGCATTTGTAAAATCTTTTTACACCCACTCGACAACCAACTGCTATGCAATACTACTGTCCGATTGTCAATTTGTATTTAATGGTGAATGTAGTCTGACGCCATGACCAATAGTTATCAATTAAGTTTCAGTGGGGGGTAGGGGGTTTGGAAAAAAACTAAAGGAATTAAGTTTTTTATCCGACAACGATCTTTTGACGTCGTCCCTTAGGTGGTTATTATCCAAGATGAATGGTTAATCTGTATGCATAAATGACCTTCTCCATCCTATGCTATGATTATCCCTACCATTTGTAGACCATCTTTTCATATTATGCTGTGATCTGTCGCACCTATGTAATGTGATATGACCCATCTTTACTTATCAAGGACAAGCCATGTGTAGTTTAACTGTGGTTTAATTTTGCAATTCTCAGTCTAATCTTACAGAAGCCCTATGAACTTTTATATGGCAGGAAATGATTACATGTATTTGTACAGTAAAATGTAGACAATTTAAGACTAAGCTAGTTTGACCAATAAGGAAGGGGCTTACATACTTGCATCATGTACGTGTAACATGTGTTACGATTGATCAATCATTTATTGTGCTAAATGAGGAAGTGTTTCTCTTCTAAAGTATCAAGGAACTAAACAGTAAATTGAGACTTTAATATGCAGGTGACTTGTCTTTGAATCAGAGGTAGGTACATATCAACATGATGTATTGATGACTGGTATTCAATGAATTGTGGTGAGTGTTGCTTCACTGCATTGTAACATACATGTACATGTATAGTCTGGAGTTTTATAAAGCTTCTTTTATCCATTTCAGTTTCTAGACGGTGATTGCATCAAATTTGTATTCAAATACAATACTTTTTTCCTTTTGGTCCTTATTATCCCCTGACACATTGCCGGCAGGGGATATAGTGGTTACTTCCGACCATCTGTACGGTCATTCATATGAGTAGCACTGTGTTATATTGAAGACATTGCAAACTAGATCTGATCAACATATATGGTGATAAAGGATACAAATTTAAATCTTTTTTGACAAATAATAGAATACATTTAATGTTTTTATGTAAATTCGGTGGGCAAATTAACAGCAGCCACAATTTTTGTTGGTAAAAGCTGGTCTGTGTTAACACCTGGCATGAACACAGTTGATTGTTACAAACAATGTTGGGGAAAAAGTGCTGGGCAATGTTTTAGTTCCAGTGATTTCTCAAAATATGACACATTATCCAAAACATTACCCAGGAGGATCTTTCAGACAAATAAGATAGATAGTTTCACATTTTTTACTTATATATTTGTATAGAAATATTGCTTTTTCAGGAGTAAATACAGTGTAAAAAGAAAAATGTATGAAAACAAGTACCATGATATGAAACTATAATTAGCTAATTTATATTCAAAGCCTTGACCTTTGACCTGTTCTAAGAGGAAGCATGGTCAGCAAGCTTATATAAAAATGTGTTTCAATTCAACACAGATATAATGTTTACTCTGTCTAAAAAAAAATATTTATTTATCACACTTCCTGGTCATAGTACACCCAGTATTTGTAAAGTCTGTAATACTGATGCTTTTTCTGAACAATCCAGTGCTGTCTCCAAAGGTAACTTCTTCTCCCCAAATTGAAATTGTAGTTTTTCTGTGTGTCTGATATCTAAAGAATCACTTGTTAGATTTTGATAAAACTTAGTAATACAATGTAGATGCTCTAATGTCCAGATATGATTAGTTTTTAATTGAAATTCATGCATACATGTATTATTTATTTAATTTGCATGATACTTTTTATACTTTATTACAGCTATGTAATAATAGTAAAGTTATGCAGTGGATTAATGTGACCGTTACTGCATAGTTCATGTAATACATGTATGTGACTGTTATTGCATAGTTCATGTAATACATGTATGTGACCGTCACTGCATAGTTCATGTAATACATGTATGTGACCGTAACTGCATAGTTCATGTAATACATGTATGTGACTGTTATTGCATAAATGATGTAATACATGTATGTGATCGTTACTGCATAGTTCATGTAATACATGTATTTGACCATAACTGCATAGTTCATGTAATACATGTATGTGACCGTAACTGCATAGTTCATGTGATACATGTATGTGGCCGTAACTACATAGTTCATGTAATACATGTATGTGACCGTAACAGCATAGTTCATGTAATACATGTATGTGACCGTAACAGCATAGTTCATGTAATACATGTATGTGGCCGTAACTACATAGTTCATGTAATACATGTATGTGACTGTTATTGCATAAATCATGTAATACATGTATGTGACCGTAACAGCATAGTTCATGTAATACATGTATGTGACCGTAACAGCATAGTTCATGTAATACATGTATGTCCGTAATAGCATAGTTCATGTAATACATGTATGTGGCCGTCACTGCATAGTTCATGCAATACATGTATGTCCGTAACTACATAGTTCATGTAATACATGTATGTGGCCGTCACTGCATAGTTCATGTAATACATGTATGTGGCCGTCACTGCATAGTTCATGTATGTGACCGTAACAGCATAGTTTATGTAATACATGTATGTGGCCGTCACTGCATACAACATGTAGTTCATGTAATACATGTTTGTGGCCGTCACTACATAGTTCATGTAATACATGTATGTGGCCGTCACTGCATAGTTCATGTAATACATGTATGTGGCCGTCACTGCATAGTTCATGTAATACATGTATGTGGCCGTCACTACATAGTTCATGTAATACATGTATGTGACCGTAACTACATATTTCATGTAATACATGTATGTGGCCGTCACTGCATAGTTCATGTAATACATGTATGTGGCCGTCACTGCATAGTTCATGTAATACATGTATGTGGCCGTCACTACATAGTTCATGTAATACATGTATGTGACCGTAACTACATAGTTCATGTAATACATGTATGTGACCGTCACTGCATAGTTCATGTAATACATGTATGTGGCCGTCACTGCATAGTTCATGTAATTTGCGTGTTGTAGTATAAAATCTGAACAATTAGTGTGCATATGTGATGTACATGATGATGTTGTTTCTTTAAAATTGTATGCAGGTGGTTTTCCAGCTGTCTGTACCTAACCCTACCATCTGACAGCTGTTTTGATGTTACATAAAGCAACTAAATGCTACAAATGCCTATTATGTAGAATCAGTGAATATAGTGCTTACACTACTAATCACTGTGTATTTCTTTTCTTCATTGTAACTTTTGGATTTTTGTCTCTAAACTACTAATGTTGAAATCCAACAGACTTTATCAATCTTTATTTTATTATATCCCATGTTATCTTCTCATGAAATATTTTTATGAAAAGTAATGGTGTGTTTTACTATAAGGGGTGCAAATTTTGGCAAACAAATATAAAAACCACAAAAAATAAATACAATAATCACACTATTAGATACTGTAAAATCACTTTCTTTTTGCGAGACAAACATAATATTTTAGCAGTGACACAAAATGTCGATTACATTCACAAATGCTAAAACATCCTAGAATTTAAAAAAATTGTTGTTTAGTATTATTACCAATGTTTTGTTTCAACAGTTAGTGTGATTCTCGCATGATATTTATTCACATTTTATTTTCGTGAAAACACAAAAGTTGTTTGTTGGACAACTATATTTTCATTTGCAGAATATATTTTTCAGAATGGTAGCTTCTCAGGAATTCTTTTTTTTTTGTCCCCGGAGAAAGACATTTTTTTGCCACACTTTGAAGTTATCATATTGTGCATATTGATATGTTATAATACCGGACATGATTACAAATTTAAAGTGAGAAATCAGGATTTCTTATTTTATGTTTATATGTGATTAGAGTTTGAAATCCAATTGATGTGATTAATGTTTGGCAGTAGAGATGCGATGATGACATTTTTATAGAATCATACTGATTGAATCTTTTCCACTTTTTTATTTGCAGATGAGGTCATTTGAAAATTGTCAGTAGCTGTTTTTGCTACATTGTAGCTGCCTCTTGAGATTTATAACTTATTTTTACCAAAATGCCTCCATCATCGGGAGAGTTGTGGGGGCTTCATTTGATGCCCCCTCGGGTTGCCGTTGACTGTCTCTTACCAACTGGCATCCTGATCACCCTGGAATGTCTACGAGAAGCGACTCTTGCAAGTATAAAAATCCATCTATTCAAAGAAGCCAAGAAGTATCCACTTGCCAGGCTGTTACAAGAAGAGACAGCGTATATTTTTGTCAGTATAACACAAGATGCAGAACAGGAAGAATTTTATGACGAAACAAGAAGGTTGTGTGAATTAAGGCTCTTCCAACCTTTATTGAAAGTTATAGAACCGGAAGGTAATAGAGAAGAAAAGATGGTCAACTATGATATAAGTAAGTCAATTACTTTTAGTAGGATCAACGTCAATTACTCTTAGAAGGGTCAATTGACAGATCAATTAGTTTTAGAAGGGTCAACGTCAATTACCTACTAGTTCAAGGGTCAATGACAATAAGTCTTAGAAAGGTCAACATCAATTAGTCTTAGAAAGGTCAACATTTATTGGTCTTAAGAAGGTCAACGTCAATCACTCTTGATGGGTCAATTGACAAATCAATTAGTTTAGAAGGGTCAACGTC